GGAGTGCATGACCGCTCTTGCGGCTGCATGACATCTTATGCTATTCATAACAATACAAAATAAAATATCTAGTATATGCCTGTTCAGCAGGTTTGAATGGTGGCGGAAAAATTCAAAATAATGGTGATAGGAAGCTGTAATGGTGGTGGGACTGGTGTTGAAATATTGAAAGTAATCCATTGTTGTGAACAACTTTATGAAAATAAAATTTAAGAAAATTAAAAATAAATAAAAATAATAAACATAGAAGGCGATAGCAGAGTGGGTAGGACATTTGCCTTGCACGCGGCCGACATGGCTGACCCGAGTTCGATTCTTCCACCCCTCTCAGAGAACCTGGCAAGCTACCAAGAGTATCTTGCCTGCAAGGCAAAGCCTGGCAAGCTACCCATGAAGTATTGGATATGCCAAACACAGTAACAAGTCTCACAATGTTACTGGGCCCTCTGGAGCAAAATCAATGAACAACGGGAAGGCAGTGACAGTGACAGTGACAGAAGGTAACTGTAACATCTTACTAATTAGTAATTGTAACATCTTACTAATCTCTTTTATAAGGACTTAATGGCTCCATGATGAGATACAACAATCTTCACTAACTTTCTCCTAAGAAAACATTTTTTGATCATTCTGTTAGCAAATTATTGATAACAAGCAATATAAAATAAATGATTGAGGGTCTGCTATGAGAGCAGGCTTAGGGGTGGTTTGGGAAAATTGGAGATAATGGTGGAGGGATTGGTGTTGGAATACTGAATGCCTGTTACAAATCATCATGAACAACTTTGTAAACCACAGTGTTTATATAAAGTTTAAGTGGGGCGGGGGAGGGGGGTTATGAGACAGAGTACTACATATAAGAAAAAAATTTAAAAAATAAAAATTAACAAGAGAACGGTTATTGCCACATGTGATATCAATGATTTGGGTGCTTTAGATCAGTTCTGAATCTAGACTTTAGCAGTGAGTTGGCTGGTACATGGATGATAAAAATCAAATGTGTCTAAACCATGGAGAACAAGCTTTTATCATTTGATTTTCTGATCCACATTTACTGGAGCTGGAAAGGCTAAAAGAGTCATCTTTCTCTCAAATAAATGGAAAACTGAAATACAATAGAAATTTCCTAAGTACATAACAATACTTTTGGGATCATGAAAACAACATGAGCTGTTATAGCTTATAGATACCAATAGGCAACAGCTTTATACAACATCATTCTTCTAAGGCATTCTGAAATTGTCTTAAAAGCGACTTTACATACGTTATTCTATACACATGCAGGCATCCATTTATGAACAGAAATTATTTAAGAACTTTTAGCACCATGTAGGAAAAGGTAATATATGTTTAGATTCTGAGTAATTTTTAAAGGACAGTAAAGGATGCCGAGATCTCCAAGCCTACTCGGACTGGAGTCGAGCATCTTCCACCCAGATCCTCCAAATCCCAGTAGGCGGGGGTCACACCCACCACCTGGCCCCCTGGCACCGTGTAATCCTCAGAGACTATAAAATCCAGCTCCCGGAACCAGGCAGTGGCAAATGTATCTTATCAGGACATCTTATCAGGACATCTTTTTATGACATCTTATTATCTCATTCCTACTTTGGACAAACTTGCAGGCTATCGATTGTAGCCTGCCCACAGGGCAGAGTCTGGCAAACTCCCCGTGGCATACCCAATATGCCAAATACCAGTAACAATGATGGGTCTCATTCTCCTAAAGAGCCTTGAATATAATCTCAGGGCTAGGATGAAAGAGACGTTACTGGGGCCTGCTCGAGGCAATCGACGAATAACAGGATGATGAAATGAAATGAAATGAAAGGATGCCAAGACATAGTGATTAATGTTCAAGAAAATAGATTTTCCTTCCTATATTGGAAAAATTTTCCAGGTGTAAGTTACAGAAAAATTCACACCGTGATTTTTGTTGTTGTTTTCTCAAAAGCCTCTTTGGAAACAGAGGGTTTTTTTTTTTTAATCTGGGCTAAACATCCATGGCATGAACAAATTAGGGTGGTAAGAATTTTATTTATTTTTAAAAAATTTTTTATTGAATCACTGCAAGACAGACCCTTACAAAGCTGTTCCTGAGTAAGTTGCAGTCATAGAGTGTTCCAGAACCCATCCTTCCACCAGTGTACGTTTCCCAGCACTACCAGTGTTCCCAGTTTCCCTCCCATCACCCCTGACCCCCCCACCCAGCCTGTGTCTATGGCAGGCCTCTCTCTCTCTCTCTCTCTCTCTCTCTCCCCCCCCCCTCCCTCCCTCCCCCGCTCCCTCCCTCAATAAGACAACATACTTCGGAGGGATCACAGAGGATTTTTATTTCTCTGTCAAATGTTCTACACTCATGTAAACACATGAAGATTTTTGCCACAATACCCATTCATTACCTTGTAGACACATCTCCCCTCCTAACACAAAAAGAGGATCACACAGAAGATAAAGCTGACAAAGGAAGGAGCTGGGATTAAACACTTTTATTGGTCAATTATCCCTGGAAAGAAAACATCAGCCTTTGTTATCGAAGTTGTCGGCTCTCCCCTTTGTAAACAATGTCTCTAAATTGGCTTGCACCTCTCCCCCGAGGCACCAGAGAAAAATCTGGGTCTCCTGTACCAACTTTTTCCTGTTGACTCTAACAAAACAGTTCATCTGGCTCTGTCAGAAAGAAGACACCATATTCCAGGCAGTTTTGCACCTTGAGAAAGCCTAACTCCTGTTATTTAAGTTCAGCACAACTCCTCTATCCTGCTCTTTCTGCATAACACACAGAAAAGAAGTTAAGGAGTTTACAGTACAGAGATGCAATTTACAGTATCTACTAGGTAACTGCTTCAGTATCTCTTTGAGAAGTCATGTTCTTAACATTTGACCCAGGGAATAGACGTTTTCTTTAGACTTTGTCCCAAATGCAGGAGCCCTTCGCTCTGATAGCACAGCATTTTTAGAAGACCTGACATCAATCCCAATTACTTAAATATGGTGGAACAAAGCTTGGAGAATCTACAAATGGAGGAGTACATTGCCACTACAGAATCTTCTGATACAAAAATTTCAATTTCAGTTGAATTCCCGTGATTCCCCTGAGCAGTGTAAATGCCCTTTACAATAATGAGGCAGTATAAGACAAAGCAAATTCTTCAAAAATATCTACATCTGCATTTATACTGATATGAAATACATTGATTGAAGAGACGAACTCTTTTATTGAAATAATTATGAGTTTCAGAGGAAAATAAAGATAATACTGAGCAGTTTCTAATAAATCCTTTAAAATGTTTTTGGTAGGTTGCCATTCAAAATTTTCCCAGAGTTCTCATCTATGTGCTATACAAACTGCAAATAAAAAATGGACAAGACCAATGGACATACTAAACATATATCAGATATCAATATAGACGTATGAGTGAAAGCTCCTTACATATGCACACCCCCCACTTAAAATACATTCTATTACACAGGCAAAGCATCATTCTTAATAATAAGACAGCAGCAATGAAATAATCTAGTTACCCAGGTACCTCAGAAAATATCAGACGTCCTGGTAGCTCCTGATGTAGTTCCCCTGGCTTCAAGGAGAGTCCTCCATTAACACCTAATATAGATCTCATAAAGCACCAGACTGCATTGCTAATAGCAATTATGTAATCCTGTCACTGGAGAGTGTTCTTTTCAAAACCCGTTTATTCGAAATCTGGCTAATGTGTTATGTGAAAAAATAAGTCACAAGGAGATGATACAAGTGCGAATGACTGAATATAAAGCATTTACATGTTATCTTACATATTTATTTTCATTTTATCAGTGCCTATACCCTCAGAAAGAATTCAGATGGCCTTCACAGGGTTGAAAGCACAATACTCTAAACTTGACTAAGAAGAGAGCTACTCTTTGAAAACATATAATTCACTTGATTATCCACCAGCATTTTTACAAACCAAGATGGCATGACATCATACTAAATAGCGCTTGAAGAGCTAGCTGATGAGGCAATAACTGTGGGTAAGTCAGAGGCTTGCAACCAAAGTTTACATATATAATATGCAAAAAAAAATCTTTAGGTTGATTTATAACAAAACCATATTTGCCACAGAAGGAAAATATAGGCTTTTAAGTAAGGCTTTTTAGTAAACATTTATTTTGTGTCTACTATTGGGTGTATCCACGCAGGCCCAAAGCATAGAAAATTTTAGGTAGGTCACAAGTTATATAGATCCTAGATATACATGTGGATTTTAATATTCACGCCAAGTGTGGACAGTAAGGTCCAGCTCTAAAGTTTTCAGCTGCAGGAACACAGCTCTAGGTATCTAAGAAGAAGGTTTTGAACCTCGGCCGTACTACCTAGATTTGATAGAAAATAACCTTGTAGACCATACCCACTGGTTATAAGAGTCGATCGCTTCTGAAAGCGACACTAGTCAAGGGTGAGATATTACAAGAGACTGTCTTGTTTTACACGCTGCCACCTTTCAGTGGGATGGGACAACTTCCCCTGTCCAGCAGGTCTTCCTGCTTGAAGCTGAGATCACACAAGGAGAAATGGACCATTTCTGTCATGTCTCGAAGGGGAGTTTGGGAAGGGGAGGCACATTCAGAAGCCAGTGGAGGCCCTCCAGCCACCTGCTCCAGAGATCTTAGAATTTCCCTAGGAATAGTCTTAGACTTACGGTCCCAGGTGGACACTTCCCTCCCCCATAAGTTTCTCATGGGGCTCAACTCAACAGAACAGACTCTTGCGTCTCAGCTACTGTATTGTATGTCACCAACCGTGGTGACTTATTTATTCTGATGAAGGCTCCCTCAGTCCCTTCCCTTTGACCGGAAGTTGAACCGTCCAGGCAGATCCTTTGAACAAAGAAGTGAAAATGGATTTGCTCCTCCCCAGCAACCACGAAGCTCTCTAGCAATGTTCCATAGCTGTGGCCTGGCCTGCAGAACTTGGGGCTCTGTCCACGGGGATCAGACGGCTTTGTCTGGTACTGAAGGTGGGCAGGCAAGTTCAAAGTCTGGACACAGGCACTTGCAAAGTTTGGCCGGGAGGAAGGAAACAAGTTCGCCAAGGGGGAGCTTCGTGGCGGTGTAGTCTCACATGACAACCCAGACATGCGTGGCGCGTGGACGGGAACGTGGATGTTTTAGGTGGTGGGTGGGTCGTGATTTTTCTTCTTGCTTCGACAGGACTTGCAGACGCAGCAAATGATACACGGGGAAGCCAGGAGCAGCAAGGGCGAAGTCACCAGGGCAATGATGCCCAATCCTACCAGAATCCCCACCACCTGGAAATTGAGAAGAGAAGGACATTCAGCTTTGGTCTGTTTGCTTCAGCCCTGCATGGGCCATCCTGAGACTCCCATGCAGAAACCTTAGTCCCCAAGATAAGATCAAGGGCAGCCCTGGAAGGTAACTGGGCAACAATGGCGAAGCCCTCAGGATGGGATTCGAGCCTGGATGTTCTGGTTGGTTCTCTTGTTTTGGGGTGGAGGATTCTCCCAAGTATTGATGGACTGGAACCATAGCACAGAGTGTAGGGCGTTTGCCTTGCACGCGGCCGACCTGGGTTCGATTCCTCTGTCCCTCTCAGAGAGCTCAGTAAGCTACCAAGAGTATCCCACATGCGGAGCAGAGCCTGGCAAGCTCCCCGTGGTGTATTCGATTTGCCAAAAACAGTAACAAGTCTCACAATGGAGATGTTACCAGTGTCCGCTCCAGTAAATCAATACAGTGCATTGATCAGAGACTCCAGAGGCCATGCCCAGGGATGTTGAACCCTGCAATTCAATCCATGGGCCCATCAGGGCCATAGCTGGCTGTGTTCAGGCAAGAAGATCAGATGGGAGGGGATGGAATTGGGGCCTCATTCATGCCAGGCATGTGCTCCAGCCCTTTGAGCGAGCACCCTGGCCTGTTGGTGCTGTTTCACCAGACGCCAGAGAGCTGGCTTCCCTTCGTGACTCTTTCTCCCACCCCAGCACACACACTGAGAAGACGGCCACCTGTAATTCAGGGGACGAGCCCTCGCCAGAACCCTGCCATGCTGCCACCCTCACCTTGGGACTGCCTGGGACTGTGAGAAATAAATCTCCGCTGTTTCAGCCACCACCTGTGGTGTTCTGCCCTGGGAATCCTCTCAGGCACATAAAAGAGCTGTAATGACAACTATGCTTTCTTTTTGTTGTTGTTGCTGTTGTTTTTTTTGTTTTGTTTTGTTTTATTTTGTTTGGGGGCCACACCTGGAAGTACTCAGGACTTCTTCCAACCTCTGCACTTAGGGATCACTCCTAGCAGGCTCGGGTACCAAATGGGATGCCAGGGATGGAACCATGGACCAGGTAACCATCGTAACCACTGTACTACCACTCTGGTCCCAGGGCCTTTTTGCTAGCCAGTGCCCAGCAAGGGTCTGAACTGAATATAAACCAAGCAGTCTCCAAGAACTAAATCACAGCTGAGACTGTCATGTCCAGGGCTCACTCAGGCTCTGAGTACAAAGCTCGGGCTAATCTCACACTGCAGGAGTTGGCTCTCCCTCGTCTATCCACGAGCTCTCACCAGTCTCATAAGGATATTTATCATGATTATGAGGCCCTGATTGCTCAGTCCCTACAAAGGAACGTGGCCTTTATGAAATATAAAACACTATTAAAAATAAACCAGGGCTGCCTTTGAACCTGCTACATAAACACACGATGGCCTGGGCAGAAGGACCTGGTCCCAGCAGGGGCCTGGGAATGTGAGAAGTCTGCATTTTAGAGCAAGTATGCCTGAGTGGCTTTCAAAAAGTCATTCTGCTGATTTTTTTTTCCTGGTTTCTTCTTCTTTTTTTCCCACCAGTGATGCTCAGGTGTCATTCCTGACAGTGCTCAGGGGAATCACCTGTGGTACCAGGTACCTAACCGAGGTCAGCTGTGTGCAAGGCAAGTGCCTTCACCTCAGACTATCTGGTCCCCTGGTCTGACATTTCCTTCCTCTGCCTTCCTTTCTACTGAAGATTACCAGCTACTTTGGGATTCTGCAAGCCAGCACTGACCAGCCAGGTGATGGGTTGTGTCCACATGTTCATTTCTGACCACTATTTCATGACTTTCCAGAACCCCTCACTCAGGGTGTGAGGGATGGAGGAAGGAGGGATGGAGGGAATGGCCAGGGAAGGGTGGTCTGGAGGTTTTCCAAGCACTCCTAGTTCTGTCTGCTTTGGTGCCCGCTACTTTTTAGTCAGGATACCTTCTTCCTCCATCCCTCCCAGAGAGCCTAGCAAGCTGCCCAGAATAACCCGCCCGCATGGCAGAGCCAGGCAAGCTCCCCGTGGCGTATTTGATATGCCAAAAACAGAAACAACAAGTCTCACAATGGAGATGTTACTGGTGCCCGCTCGAGCAAATCGGTAAATAACGGGAGGACAGTACTACAGTGCTACCTACCTGTGCTCGGTTCCACATCACCGACGCCCTGGAGTGGCCCAGCTTATTCCTACATGGCCCTTTGTCATAATGTCGAAGGAAAATGTCATTCTGAAAAACAAAGAGAAGTTTCCATCAACATATGGTTTTGAAGTGTCAGTGGGCTACTCACCTAATGGCCAGCAGGGCAGCTGAGTGGAAGCGAAGGTGTCAATAACATTCGGTGATATCAGTGCCTGTCTCTAGAAATTTCAATCTTGCAAAGTTTAGAATATATCTCAGTAGATTTTTAAAGTCACGGAGGCCAAGAAAAGATCAACAAGACTCTTGGTTGAGTCTAAAAAAAGATGAGTGACCAGATGGATTATATTCACTGTATTCACCGGGCAGGCAGCACTGGGAGAGGCATGAGGTGGAATGAAAGGGCCCTGAGGGCGGCAGTGACCTGCTCTGCTCTGGCCCCAGCAAAACAAACAATTACAAAATATGTATGGAACAATTTCAAAACGAGTATAGCCCAGCCTCCATTGACTGAATAGCCCAAACAATTCTGAGATGAGAAACCAAATATGCTGGGGGCCAGATTCTGGGCCCCCCTCATACATGCTTTACATATATTCAGCCGATTGAGCTCTCTATCTAACCTCAGGAAAGCTTTATCTTATTTTATTTTATTTCTGGGTTGGGGGCCACAGCCAGCAATGCTCAGTTTCTCCCTGGCTCTGTGCTCGGGGATCACTCCCGGCGGTGCTCAGGGAACCATGTGGGGTGCAGAGGACTGAACGCAGGTTGGCCACGTGCAAGGCCAATGCCCTCCCCGCGGTACAAGTTCTGGCCCTGGAGAACTTGGGTTTAAAATGTGGGGGACAGCTCAGAGAAGCAGAGTGATGTTTTATGGATATCTATAATAGTAGTCATAGTAATCATTTTACAGTGGTCAGTTTAGGTGGATGTGGTTTTAGAGCCTGTCCCTTGGAGAGGTATGAAACTGTATTCCTAAAATAGAGAGTCTTGTAAACCATGGACTCGATTTTTTTTTGGGAAAAAAAGCGAGTTTTCTACCTGTATTGCAAATCATAACATCCGAAAAGAGAGAGAGAGAGAGAGCGAGTAAAAGGGAATGTCTCTGCCACAGAGGCGGGGTAGGGGGTAGGTGGGTGGGGGATTAGGTGGGAGGGTTACTGGGTGGTGGGAGGGTTACTGGGAACATTGGTGGTGAGAATGGGCACTGGTGGAGGGATGGGTACTCGATCAATATATGACTGAAATGGAATTACAAAAGTTTGTAAGTCTGTAACTATGTCATGGTGATTCATTAAAACATATTTCAAAAGGGCTCAGTGATAGCACAGCGGGTAAGGCATTTGCCTTGGACGTGTCCAACCCGGGTTCAATTCCCAGCATCCCATATGGTCCCCTGAGCACCGCCAGGAGTAATTCCTGAGTGCATGAGCCAGGAGTAACCCCTGTGCATTGCTGGGTGTGACCCAAAAAGCAAAAAAAAAATTTTTTTTTAAATAGCACTGTAGCACTGTCCTCCCGTTGTTCATTGATTTGTTCGAGCGGGCCCAGTAACATCTCCATCGTGAGACTTGTTGTTACTGTGTTTGGCATATGGAATATGTCACAGGTAGATTGCCAGGCTTAGCCGTATGGGCGAGATACTCTCGGTAGCTTGCTGGGCTCTCCGAGAGGGACAGAAGAATCGAACTCGGGTCGGCCGCATGGGCCGCATGTAAGGCAAACACACTACCCGCTGTGCTATCACAATAAAATAAAATAAAAAAGAAAAAGCAAGTTTTTGCCCTGTTTGGGAGGACCTAGGCAGGCTCAGTTATCCTGGGCCAGAGACAGCGCGGAGAAGAAGACTCCTCCCAGGGGGGAACTTACATCCAGGTTCTGGAGACAGTACCAGCAGAAGGTGTGCTTGCAGTTCTTGCACATCATCTGGGCACACCCTTCATTGCGCTCGATGTAAACCCGGCACACTGGGCACTGCTTAATGGGGGCTTCGACATCTGTCCCAAAAAGTGCCCTAGAAACCAAGCAGAGGAGAAATTATCAGGGGGCAGGTCCATGCTGCCCAGATCCCCAGGAACACAGTACCAGGAGCAGAGTTCAGCTATAAGGTGAGTTCAGTAATGAGTGACCCATTTGACTCAACAAGATGGTTCGCAACTGATTTCCCAGGGCTCCTGAGGGGAATGCCGTGTGCAAGTCCTCATGGTACCTGATTCCCTTCTCAGGAAAAGGGTGGGTGCAAAAACAGGAAACAGGGGGATAACTAGATGTTCAAGTCACTCCCAACAAGAGAGGATCTTCGCTCAGTTCTGCTTTGTCATGTGTCGCAGGACGACACTTTCCATGTTTGATTCTTCTATTTCTAAGTTAACCTTTCATTCCCCAAGCACGTACCAAATGAATAAAAAGAAAGTAAAAGTCTACCACGGAGCAGAAAAAGGTAGCTCAGGGGTGCAGTGGGGGCTTCAGTATCTAGTTCATCAGAATCAATACTTTGGGGCTGGAGCAATAGTTCAGTGGGTAGGGCATTTGTCTTGTATGCAGCTGACCCGGGTTCAATTCCCAGCATCCCATATGGTCCCCTGAGTACCGCCAGGAGTAATTCCTGAGTGCAGAGCCAGGAGGAACCCCTGTGTATTGCCTGGTGTGATCGCAAAAAGAAAGGAAGAAAGGAAGAAAGGAAGAAAGGAAGGAAGGAAGGAAGGAAGGAAGGAAGGAAGGAAGGAAGGAAGGAAGGAAGGGAGGAAGGGAGGGAAGGAAAATTCTTAATATAATTGAAAAAATCTGCTCTGGACAGAGAAGCAATACTATCCTGGCATCCAACCTATGGGGCACAGGGAGAAAAATAGAAAGGAATTAGGGTACGTGGAAGGCGGAAGTCATGCCCCGGGATTCCACTTAAGTGATTCTTCATCCAGACCCCTGTCCAACATACAGGGGTAATGAGTCACAGAGTGTTGTCAAATCTATGATCAAATGTGATCCATCACTTTGACCAGCAGTGAGAACATTATTATTTTAATTTCCTCTTTTTATCCCCCTCTTTCCAGCTAGGGAAGCAGATTGCGAGTGGTGTGACTTGGAGGAGGTCACAAGGATGCCAAGTGACAATGTCGAAATTTGTCCTTCTCTGGGGTTAGGGCATTTTCTGAGGATCCCAGGCAGAGGCTCTGAGAAGGTCCATGAAATCTTTTTTTTCTCTCTTGATAGGTTCAGTGTGAGATTGAGGCACTGTCTCCTGGCCAGGGAGCACTGAAGAAAGGCTCCACATACACAGTCGGCACTGGGGAATGAAGCCAACTAGTCCCCGCATCCTGGTTTCTGGTCCTGCTGCTGCAAAGCAGCCTTGGCCCCAAGCAAAGCACAGACTCCCCACTGAGGTCTCTCCCTCTGATGAGTCTCCCACTGCTGCAGACCTTTCCAGAGATGAGGGAGAGATGGCACAGACTCTTAGCCCAGAACACCTTCAATCTTGTTCAGAATAGAAGAGGCAAGTTCTCTGAGTTCCTGAGAATGCTAGAACATATTAGCATGTATGCTCTAGAAAATGCTAGAACATGCTAGAACATTATACTCTACTGGGGGGCCTGTTCTTTCTAGGGTGGTGTTCTCCAGAGTGGTTGGCACTTTCCCATTTTGTCAGGTAGCACTGCAGTACTATCCTCCCATTGTTCAATGATTTGCGGACACCAGTAACATCTCCATTGTGAAAATTGGTGTTACTGTGTTTGGCATATTGAATATACAACAGGGAGCTTGCCAAGGCTCTGCTGTGTGGTCGGGATACTCTTGGTAGCTTGCCGGGTTCTCCAAGAGGGATGGAGGAATTGAACCTGGGTTGACCACATGCAAGGCAAATGCCCTACCCGCTGTGCTACCACTCCAGCCCTTTGTCAGGTAAGAAAATTATTTCCATGCCACCACTTAGCAAACAGGAAGAATGAGGATAATCAATAGTGTCAGCGACCTAAGCCGTGGATAAACCAGGGCTTCCTAGAAGAATCAAACTAGTTCTTATCTGGGAAACCAAAGTTCCTTTACATGCTAACTTCAGTAGTAAAATCCCCCCCCCCTTTATTTTTAGTAAAATTCATTTTTGTTTCTCTTTTATGGGGCCATCTGGTGCTCAGGGCTTACTTCTGGCTATGCATTCAGGGATCACTCCTGGTAATGCTCAGGGGACCATATGGGGTGCTGGGAATCAAATTTGGGTCAGCCACATGAAAGGCAAGCACCTATCCTACCCATTACACTATCTCACTAGCACTGTCAATTTCCTTTAATAGGGGCTGGAGAAATAGTACAGTGGGTAGGGCATTTTCCTGGCATGTAGCTGATGCAGATTCAATTCGATGTGGTCCCCAGAACACGAGCAAGAGTAATTTATAAGTACAGAGCCAGGAGTAAGCCCTGAGCATCACTGGGTATGTCCCAACCCCAAAACCAAACAACCCCCATAAATCCCTTTAGTAGTGTTTATTTGGTGGTTCTCTACGAATTTGCCAACTCTGAGAGGTTTCTTGGGGAAGCTGTACAGGGCACGCATCCATCCCTGAACCCCTTCACAAGACACATTCATCTCTAAGCAACACAGTTGGGTTTTTAAGGGAAGCCAAGTTTCCTTTCTTACCCGTGCTCCGTGGGCAGGGCGAAGGGCTGGCTATCTCTACAGGAGACATCCGCATGCCAGGCCTCCTTGCAACAGGAGCAGAATTTCAGGTGGCATGAAGGGCATTCCACCAGCACCGGCTGCCCAGGGTCACTTGGGGCAACAGGGCACACGGTCTGACAGTCTGCCACAGGGCACCAGGTTCGGCAAGGGTCCAGATGAACTTCTAAAGCATGGACAAAGAATAGAGTCAATGTGTACCCATCATTCACACGTGCGGTTTCCCCTCCCTTCATTCATTCCCTTCTCTAAGAAGTAAACAATATCTTGGAGCCAGTGTCTGCCATTGTCCAAGGATTTCCACCAACTTATACCAATCTGGTAGGGATTTAGAAGGAGACCAGCCCTCCTGAGATCTGAGAATCCATGAATCACACACTGATTACTTATTTTTTTCAACTGAATCGCCGTGAGATACAGTTACAAAGCTTTCATGTTTGAGTTTCAGTCATACAATGATCAAACACCCATCCCTCCACCAGTGTACATTTTCCACCACCAATGTCCCCAGTATCCCCCCCACCCACTCCCAGCCCACCCCCTACCTCTATGGCAGAAAATTTCACCCATACCCTCTCTCTTCTTTGGGGCATTGTGGTTTGCAATAGATGAAGTTATGAAATTTGCTTAGAAATGGATGGTCATGGAGAGCATCATGCTAAGTGAAATGAGTCAGAAAGAGAGGGACAGACATAGAATGACTGCACTCATTTGTGCAATATAAAAGAATGCTGATCACTTTTATGGGAGGTTTGTTCCAATGAGAGGAAGAGTTGCTACTACAGTTTCTCATAGTGTATCTAAACAGACAAGGTCTCTCCACTCTGTCACATTTCTCAAAGTAGGTGCCGGTGGTTTGGGTCTTTATTGCCCATGTGCAATATAAGGGGTATTCTTCCCAATCAAAATGTACAACCATTTGGGGATATTTCCCAGCAATCAAAACCGGCAAAAATCTGAAGTAACTGTTATCACTACTTGGGGGAATATGATATGTAAAGTGTGATATAAAAAACTTATCAATGCAAAAGAAATTCCACAAAATATTTCATCCTTCTAGGTACTAAAGAAGAAGCAATACAGGTTTTCCGTTTAGAGGGAAGTTAAAGAACAAAGAAGAATCAAATCGTTTGGGACCCAACAGGCTTAACCAGTAAGTCAGATTCGCTGTAAATCTGGATGTCCAGTTGCCCTACCAATATATTAAGTTGTGACAATATAAAAAAAGGCCCATGCTGTAAAATCAAAGGTAGAAACTTTCACAGATCATAAAATGATCATTAATCAGATCACATAAAGAATATCTATGTTAGAGAAGGGACCAGCACGACAAAAGTTGGAAATGATCGTTTTGGACAGGAACTGAGTGTTGAAAGTAGGTGAAGGGATATACCTGATAACTTTTCAGTATCTGTGTTCAGTATCTGCCATAGTAGCAGGCAGGGGAGAGGAGGGTGGGAGGGAAACTGGGAATCTTGGTGGTGGGAAATGAACACTGGTGAACAGACAGGTGTTGGAACATTTATAACTTGAAACCCAATCATAAACAACGTTGTAAATGTGCATATCACTATGATTCAATTTTAAAAATTAAAAAAAAAGAATATCCATGCATCACTAAAGAAAGATGTTTTGGGGGTGATATATATTATAAATTATCTACAAATTTAGCTGATTTTACATTTTCTATTAAGCAACAGACCCCGTATACTTGTTCTATATCAAAATATTTAAGATAACAGATCGTGTGAAAAAGAATTATAATACTTGAGGGATAGAGTAGTTCTTTGTCTCAACTATTTTGCAAAATTTGAACTGATGATGTTTTAGTTTAAAATTTCCTAAGGCTTGTGATTCTTGGAAATTTCCCTAAAGGAGGCAAACAAATTCAAAGGGTGGTGCAAAAAAGGAAATGAAGGTATTAAATATAAATTTAATTTTAAAATTAATTTTACAAAGTTAATATCAGGGGAAATATCTGAAATGTTCCAGTAAACACTGTCGCCATGAATGTCTCACCTGTAAAATTCAGAAACTCAATCTATGCTTCTTACAAGTTTGCATTTTATAAATGGTACCCATACACATACAGTTTTATCTAATCTAATAATCTGGGAAGATGGGGGCAGAGACGGATGGACCCGACATAATCAGGAAGGGGAAAGGATGTTCAAAGATACCCAAAACCTTTGCAACAGGCTTGTTAGAAAGTCAAAGAGAAGGGCTGGAGTGATAGTACAGTGGGTAGGGCGTTTACCTTTCATGCGACCGACCGGGGTTCAATTCCCAGCATCCCATCTCGGTCCCCGAGAACCACCATGTGTAATTCCTGAATGCAAAGCCAGGCAACCACTGTGCATTGCCAGGTGTGACCCAAAAGTACTGTAGCACTGTCCTCCCATTGTTCATCGATTTGCTCGAGCGGGCCCAATAACGTCTCCATTGTGAGACTTGTTACTGTGTTTGGCATATTGAATACATCACGGGTAGCTACCAGGTTTTGGACCAAAAAGAAAAAAAAAAAAGAAGAAGAAAGTCAAAGAGACAGTGACGTGTTAGATTTTGAAGCCTTGGCCATTTTCTCTTCCTGTCCTTTAGATTTCCCTCCAAACTTTTAGCACTGCATCATAAAAAATAAGTACCAAGAAACCAAAGTTAGTGCGTAACTCAGAGTTTGGTGCTCCTGTGTCAAATGTCAAATGTCTACTTAAACTCCATTCTAAGTCATGGCCATTGAAAAGTTTGACGGTCAAGAAAGAAGAGAAAGAAGGCCCTCTGGGCGGCAGAGAGAGAGTCCAGCACTACATCTCCAAAAGAACCTGATCCTGCCCAATCTTTCCCGGTAGACAGGTGCAGGCTGGGAACTCTGGGGCGTTTCTCAGATTCCCTTTCTGCCTACAGGCACAGCGGTCCACCCTCCACCCTGCAACACAGAAAGGGCCTCGCTCTGTTAACTGAGCCGGGGGAAGTTGCCAAGCCACCAAAGGATGGGCTTCTCTGGGAAAGAATAACCCTGACTCAGGCTCTGCATACACCCAAGTGATGCGAGGTGGCTTGGGCCAGAGCACCAATTTTAGCAATCTGAAGGAAAGCTGAGTCAGAAAATTGGCCTAAATCAACCGAACCTTGTCACCCTGCCTGCTCGTGGAGCTGCTGGGGGTGGGGACCAGGCCCTGCTGTTGAAGCTGGTTTCAATCAGGACCTGTGTTCCTGATTGAACACAGGTCCTGTTTTTTCGGTGAAGGAAAACACCTTCACGGAAAAAACTCATCCTCGTAATTGTTAGCAAAATAGCCTCTTCAAACTAGGACTGCCCTCCTAAGGGGCAGAGACTTTATAAAGATGTAATCCTCTTTATAATCATGTCCGGGTGACCTTAAGATCTTTTCCAAGTCAATGATTGCAGCAATCCATCTGTGAGTACAGAAATAAAATATACACCACAGGCATTATCCTGCAGAAAACAGCACATCAGATTATATTTGTTACTGTGTAGATGAATGGACAAGATATCATATCTTTTGACTGATCACTTATGTAGCTTTTAAAAAGGGTGGGGCTGGAGCGATAGCACAGCGGGTAGGGCATTTGCCTTCCACGCGGCTGATCCGGGTTCGATTCCTAGCATCCTTTGTGGTCCCCGGAGCGCTGCCAGGAGTAATTCCTGAGTGCATGAGCCAGGAGTAACACCTGTGCATCGCCAGGTGTGACCCAAAAAGCAAAAAAGAAAAAGAAAAAGGAGGGAGGTGGGGCCAGAGAGATACTATGGTGGGGAGGTTATTGGCCTCGCACATGGTCAACCCAGGTTTGCTCCCTGACACCCATGTGTTTTCCCCCAATCTCTTCCAGCAGTGATCCCTGTGCACAGAGCCAGGAGTAAGCCCTGAGGAACACAGGTGTGGCCCGAACACCAAATAAATATTAAAAATTAAAAAGTAAGGTAGGCACTGGTGGAGGGATGGGTATCTGATCATTGTATAATTGAAACCAAAGCACAAAAAAATTGTAAATCTACAACTTTAAAAAAAAATAAAATAAAATAAAATAAAGGAAAAAAAAAAAAGGAAGTCCAGGGTGGGAGGGATACTGGGATCCATGGTGGTGGAAAATGGGCACTGGTGGAGGGATGGGTATTTGATCATTGTATAATAGAAATCCAAGCACAAAAATTTGTAAGTCTACAACTGTACCTCATGGTGTTTCACTAATAAAAATTAAAAAAAAAAAAGTAAGGTAGGGTGTAGAGAGATACTACAGGGTTTAAGGCACTTGCTTTGCATGCAGCCAATCCCAGGTCAATCCCTGGTACTATATATAACTTCCTGAGCACTGCTAGGAGCAAACCCTGAGCGCAGGAGTCAGGTGTAAAACCCTGAACATTTCTGGGTGTGGCACCAGAACCAGAAAGATGAAAAGTCCAGAGAGATAGTACAAGGGTTAAGGCACTTGCCTGGCACACAGCCAACCCTACTTTGGTCCTCCCCTCACTCAAGGTCCCCAAGCACCACAAAGGGTCACTTCTGATGAACGCAGAGCCTGAAATAATCCCTGAGCACTGTAGGATGTGCCCCACATCCTCACATAAAACGAAGAGAAATCAGTGTGAGCCTATGGAAAGTGTTCTAAGATATTTCGCTAAGTCAAAACTAACAGAGAGAAGAACAGGGATAGGCTTTGTTTTTACTTTTTTTTTCCTTTTTGGGTCACACCTGGCAATGCACAGGGGTTACTCCTGGCTCTGCACTCAGGAATCACTCCTGGAGGTGCTCAGGGGACCATATGGGATGCTCGGAATTCAACCTGGGTCAGCCTCGTGCAAGGCAAATGCCCTACCCGCTGTGCTATAGCTCTAGCCCCTACTTTTTTTTTTTTATTAAAAGAAAACATTTTTTTGCTTTGTTTTTTACTACACCCAGCTGTGCTCAGGGCTTACTCTGGCTCTGCAGTGAGGAATCACTCCTGGCAGGGCTCAGGGGACCTTATGGGATCCTGGGATCGAATCCAGGTTGTCCGCATACAAGGCAAGAAGTATTGCTTGAACCCCATGAATCATATTGAAAAAAAAAAGTCCACATAGAAATATGCTTTAGCATTTCCATCTAAGAAACATGACAACAGTGGCCCTGCCTTGAGGGAAGAAGCAATGAGTGACTAATTGCTAAATCT